TATATTGATGACATCTTCATCATCTGGACCCATGGAAAAGAAGCTCTTGAGGAATTCCACCATGATTTCAACAATTTCCATCCCACCATCAACCTCAGCCCACCTTGATTATCATGCACATTGTAAGGAGAGTGGTCACTTTAGATAAACTATTACCAGCAGGAGAGTGGGTTGGGGGGTGAGAAAACCTGGATTTGTGCTGGAAATGGCCCAACTTGATTATCATACACATTGTAAGGAGAGTGATCACTTTAGATAAGCTATTACCAGCAGGAGAGTGGGGTGGGGGGAGGTATTTTTTCATGCTTTGTGTGTATAAAAAGATCTTCTACAGTTTCCACAGTATGCATCCGATGAAGTGAGCTGTAGCTCACGAAAGCTTATGCTCAAATAAATTGGTTAGTCTCTAAGGGGCCACAAGTACTCCTTTTCTTTTTGGGAAGTTTAGAGACTGAGCTAGAATTAGCAGCAAGTATCACTGCTTGAAGATTGACATCACTTTGAAAAGAGTAACTACATGATCTGGAAGCATTCTGAGAACGATTTGTCCATTTTACCCCAAAGCTGTGCTTTTCTTCTGAAAAGCAAGTAACTTTCTCCAAAGCAAACATCAATGCTGTTATCTTCTGCCCTGAAATACTGGTGCATGTTTGTTTTAACAGACCACTCTTGCAAGAAGTGCACTGATGTCTTTAATGACCATTAGTATCCGTCATCTTTCTTCTGAAACATGACACCAAAAGAGCAATTCCCCATAGAAACATGTCAGGATTATTTGTTGAATACTAACTCAAGGCCTAATCATAAACTGCTTGCTCAAACAAAACTCTCATTTAAGTCAATGGGAGTTTTGCCTCTGTAATCAGATTGTCCTGACATCACTTCAAAAATGCATGGGTTTTTCCCAGAAGTCTCCAAATTACATAACTGAAAGGCATCAACTTAACTGATCAAATCTGATGCGAGTGTATCACAATCTTCAGGTTTCAGAGTAACAGCCGTGTTAGTCTGTCTTCGCAAAAAGAAAAGGAGTATTTGTGGCACCCTAGAGACTAACCAATTTATTTGAGCATGAGCTTTCGTGAGCTACAGCTCACTTCATCAGATCACAATCTTATCACAATCTTGTTACAAAAAAGCAATTGTACTCATAGTTTAGAGATGTAGTTCTAGAGAGAGCTTCTCCAGTTGGCATAGCTACTACCTCTCATGGAGGTGGCTTAACTACATCTCCCATCAACATAGTAGCGTCTTCAATGAAGTGCTACAGAGGCACAGCTGCACCACTGTGGTGTTGTAACATCTCAGAACAGGATGAATGAAGACTTTGTTTTCCCTGAACAACAAGGGAGAAAAACAAATTCCATGTGTAATGTGCCATCAAGCTCTTTATGTTTTAAGAGAATGGTTTGGCATTTAGATAACTAATTGCTGGTGTTTCAAGTTCATTCAGTGTCTAGTTATTTGTTTGTTTTCCAAACAGACAGAGAATTCCTTTGTAAGAGTGGTCTGTTTGAATGACTGATAAAGACAAGGCTGTTGATTTTTTGTGTAAGCAATTACATTTTTCTTTTTCTTTTCTTTAATTTATTTTCTTTTGTTATTTCACCCATCTCCTAAGTAGCTAAAATGGTTAACCAAAAGACTGCTAAGATTTGCTTGTCTACAGGGCCTGAAAAGAAACACACCTGTGGTTTGTTTTAAGCGTAGACCTTCCCTTCCCTAGGACTGATCAATAGGAAGATACACACACCCTCCTCCATTGTATCCTGAACCCCATCAACTCCGACTGTTTTTTGTCTCCAGAATAGGTTACCTGAAAAGGATAATGGTTACTTGATTATTACTCAGTTCCTGTTCTTGGAAATGAAGCACAAACCTTTACAATTGGAAGAAGGAAATTAGAAATATTGTGATTAACCAACATAATTTTGGGGCCTTAGCATAAAATCATGAAGTTTCCAGAGTGCTACTTATACTGCAGAAAATGGTAGCTTTGTAATCTGTAGCACTGAGTTTACGGAATTGTTTTAGCACAATTTGTATTTGACAAACATTACAAAGAAATTTACATACAGATTTACAATTTGCACACAAGGATAAAAATTGCCAAAAATGACTGCTTAAAGCTAAACACCTAAATACCTGTTCATGGCCCAATTCTGCAAGTGGACTCTTGATGCGCATGAGCCCATCAACTTGGATATGGTTCATACGGGCAGATAGGGTTACTCCTAAACTGCCATTAGGTACCTAATTAGTAACCTAATTTTCAGCAATGCTTAAAGGTGCAGTTTTTATTGAAGTCAACAGGAGCCTTACATGCTCAGTACCTCTGAAAATTAGAATACTTATTTAGCTAAGTAAGGATTTAAATGCTTAACTTTAGGTACTACCATTTGAAAATACTGGCCATTTTTAGCATAATTTAGGGGAAAACAAACAAACACATATCTCTGAGCCACAAATTTGTAAATTCCTTACAAATACTCTGTATTCTTCTTCTAGCCGTACATCAGAGATAACTGATGCAATTTATCTTTTTCCCCCAAGAAATGGTGCCTATTGGGAGATGGCATTAAAAACAGTCTCACATTCTTTTTTAGGAGGGAGCATAGACACATGGTCCAATATTCTTTCATACTTTTTTAGATGTTACAATGTTGGAGTGTTTTGTTTGTTTTTCACCATCTCAGTGCATTGGAACATTCTGCAATAACTGGTAAGAAATGCATTTGGGTCCTCTAATTGCTAATGCTATACAAATAAACAACAAGCACATACTTATATAGGGGTTTACCTTCAAAATACTTTGCAAACATTCACTACATTTTGCAGCCACCCTGTATGAGGTAAGTAGGTAAATATCATTGTCACGATGTTAGGAATCTGGGAACTGACACAGAAGCGGTTTCTAGCCTTCTCTCCCTGTTTGCAGTTCTACTGGCGATATCAATGGCAGGAGCACCAGAGTAGACAGGCTATCTGGCCACTGTTAGAGGGTTTTCCCTTCACTCCCTCCCCTGGTTCTTGTCATGCAGACAGAAAGCAGAAGACCAGAAGTCTAACGTGTAGGCAATGCAATGTTTACTGGAGTTAGTTCCAAGTAAGCATAACCAGAGCTCTACACGCTGGTAGAGTCTGTTTCCCAGTGTTCCGTTCCAAGCTCTGATGCCATAGAGCGTTTCCCCCGTTCCCTCTTCCCAGATCTGATGTGACAGCGCCTTGTGTGTGTCCCCGTTCCTCATTTCCCCCCTCCCCATGCCCATTTCCCACCTCCTCCTTCTTAGCAGGCCCAAATATACCTGCAATGGACACCCTTGGCCCCACTCCTTACAACTTATGGTCATGTTCCATTTTGGAGGATTGTGAGTCTAGGGTCTTCATCCCACCTGTTTTGTATCTCATGGGAGGGGTGAGGTTGTGCTATGGTCAGGACAGGCATGTCTTTGGCCTTTTAGTGTTTTATACCTTCCCCCCCATCCCCTCCTGACTGGTTGCTTGACCTTGCCTTGACAGAAGAGGCAGCCTTCCAGCGTATGCTCATATATTACATTCCTACCATAACCTGTAACACTTTAGCTCGATCCCTTATCTTTTCTCATTGTACTAAAAGACCCATCTGGTTGTGGGAAATGCAACGCACAGTGTCTTTGTTCACTGTTCTTCATACATATTAGTATAAAATATAAAAGTATCAAAAAATCAAACCCAAAATTCTATCTCAGCATATAGGCTTGTTCGTTAGCCTAACAGCCATCAGCGTGACCTTGGGAGGCCTAGACTAAGCCACTAGGGCCTAATAATCTATAATCTAGGGCCACTGTTTGAAACTCTGGGAGACACTAGCACCTTTCCTACACTTGGACTCCCACCTGTGTAGCTGCACCAGTGCTAGCAAAAATGGGTAACCTTCGGGGAAAACATACTGGTGTATGTATGCAAGGTGAGAGCCTGTGCGTATCTTAAAGTTACACTCTCCCCTCAGGCAGAGGAGTGCAATTCCCATTAAGCCCAGTGTTATCTATGTATCTGTGGGAAGCATCTGGTCCTTAGCCTGGAGCAGGACTGAGACTAGCCCTTGGAGTAGCCAACCACACTCCTGTGCTCAAATCTCTGGGAGCAAGGCACCCTGGCAGAGGATGGTGTCTCATGGGCCCACACGTGATCTGGGGACCGGGACCTGCCCCAAGGAAAAGGGGCACCAGCCTGCATAGAGCAGGACTGGTGGCAGCCCCATGACCTTAAAAAAACATCCCTCGCCCAGGGCGGACCACGGCTAGACAAAAAACCAAGTACGGCTCCGTCACAGGAGTCGGCAACATGTCCATACACAACCACAAGTGTCCACGGTAAAAATTTTGAGGTCTATGGGGGGCGCTCATGGACAAGTGGCAGAAGCCATGGCACACTACCTCCGTCCCCCCTTCCCCGAGTGCTGACTTCATGGCCCTCCCAGCCCATTGGCTGGGAACCACAGCCAATGTGAGCTGTGGAGAGTGGTGCCTGTAGAGCTGCCTGGCCGCACCTCTGCCAGCAAGAGCAAGGACAGGGAAACCATCCAAGGTGAGCCTCCCTGTCCCGGCTGTTGGTGTCAGAAGCGTGGCCAGGCAGATCTCCACACTGCCTCTGCCCCTTCTCCCCAAGCGCTGACTTCATGGCTCCCAGGCCATTGGCCAGGAACTATGGGCAGCTCCTGCAGACAGTGGAGCGTGCAGACCCGCCTGGCCGTGCCTCAGCGTAGGAGCTGGAAGGGGGATATGCCACTGCTTCCGGGAGCTGTTTGAGGTAAGCTCTGGCCGGAGCCTGCACCCCTGACCCTCCTCCCAAGCCGGGGTCAGAGGTGAGCGGGGGAGCTTGGCTGCAGGTGAGTGCGGAGCACCCGCTCAGTTTTCCCCATGGGTGTTCCAGCCCCAGAGCAACCCCTGCTCCGCCATGTCCCACCGGACCCCCTGCCCAAGGGCGGTAAAGCTCCCTGCGTACTCACGGCCCTGCGTGCTCCTCTCTCCCTCGCAGCCGCTCAGACTCCGTTAGCAACGGCCTCTGTTGCTACGCAGAAAGGTCACTTCCTCCTACTGGGGGCCTGGCGAGGCTGTGCCCCACTGTCTGACGGGAGTTGTAGTTCGGCGGCCAGCGTTCCAGGCTCCCTCCCCCTCCTTCCCGTGTGTCAACCGCGCTGCATCCCGGGAGTTGTAGTCCTGCCAGGAGCGCCGGGCCTGCGCTGGGGCCGGCAGGAAGAGGCTGAAAAGACTACGGGGAGGCCGAGCGCGGCGGTGTGGGGTGCCGCAAGCGTCGGGGGCTGTGCTCGAGCACGGCAGCATGAAGAGGCGAGCAGGGGCGAGCGAGAAAAAAGAAGCCAAGGTACCTTCTATTTTGCTTCCTGCCCCTCCCAGCCTTGTCAGGCCTGTCCCCCGCCCGAGCTCGCCGGCCCGCCCCCAGGCTGGGCTCTGCAGTCCAGGGGAGATTTCTCAGCTGCCGGCGGGGGAGCTCATCACGCCCCAGCGGTTGCCGGAGCATCCTTGCCCAAGCAGGATCCCCCCCGCAGCCGGAGGGGACGGTAGTGGGCGCTGCTCCGGGCCGGGACCTCTGGCCCCCTTCCCCGGCTGTGAATTCCTGCAGCCTCCCGCTCGCCCGAGGGACAGCGCGCAGCTGATGATTAAACCGAAAGACCAGCCCTAGAGCCTGCCCCCTGCCTGCTGGGCCCGAGAGTTAGCGCTCCCGGGGCGTTAGACGGGAGCCCTACCCAGGTGTCCTGGGTTCAAATCCTTCCCCCTGTTCCCATGGCGTTGCAGCGCGCTGGTGGGTCACTATCCACGGCCCTTAACTGGCGCTGTCCGCCCTGTGCTTGGGACCTTGTGTTCAGCAAGCATGTGGCTGCGGTTGATTTCTCCAGTCTCGGTGTCTGCAGGGCAGTGCCCGTCTCCCAGGGCTACTTCCTTCCGCCTCTGGGTCACGAAATCGTTTTGATCGCCTATGACGTGCCACTTGTTTACTGTAGCCCAAGAGTGGGACACAGCTGCCTTGCTTCTAGCTGTAAGAGGTGCGGCCTGAGCACAGGGCCGGGAGCCTGCTGCCTCTGAGTGCCAACCACAGTCCTGATAGTGGCTAAAAGTTGGTGCTGTCCTCCTGCTAAATTTTTTTTTGTAAATATCTTTGAAATCATATGACTGTTTTTGAAGCCATTTCCAAGGTCTTTCATGGTTTCTGGGCTGCATTCTTAGTGGGAACTTTATAATGTTTACCCAGAGCAATTTTTGTGACTATATGCACATTAAATTGTTTCCCCAGTATCTTCTTACTAAATGGCCAAATAAGTGTGCTTTTGTTTTTCCAGTAAAACATCTCCCCCCCCCCCCCCCCCCAGCCCAGATGATCCAAATGATTTTATATTAATGTATCTGATAGGAATATTAGGTATTTTATAGCTTCCTGGCAGTTGAATTTTTTTCTTGAATGTGTGTGTATGTTTAATGATATCATGAGCCCACCTTGAAACTTTAACCCAGAGTACTAATTTATATAGTTTGAAGGCACTATTAATAATAGTTTTTTGTATGGCTTTCTAGCACCCTCATACAGTGTTTGATTAATATTATGAATATTCTGATTCTTCTTTATTGGTGATTTTACACTGTTGTAACTGCATTGATTTCATGGAATTACAGCTGTGCACCAGTGTAAGTGAAAGGAGAATATAAGGCCTCTGTATATTTTGTATTAAGTATGTGCAATGTTTGTTTTAAAGCCTAACTCTGATCTCACTTATACCTGTGTAAGTTAGGGGTAAGAGGAACTATAGTGCAAGGGATATAGTGCAAGAGGAAGTGTGCACACACATATATCAGTAGAGGCTGAGGTTAGGCCCTACTGATGATCAAGCACTGATCTCCTGCAGCAGGCTGCCTGTCTCTCTTCAAAGGAAGCCTTCACGTACATCATCAAAGTTTTTGTTTTGTGCTATTTTAGAAGAACTCTCCAGCTCCAAGGATTGTGGTGGGATTTCTTTAGAGTACAGTTTCTGTAATGTAATGATTCAATTGCAATGTACTATATGCTTTTGGTCTCCGTATGACCAGTGGAACATTAGTACCCTTCTGCTGAATATTCATATGGGTGCAAAGTGATGCAAACTAGCAGAACTTCATGAAGCTGAACTTCCTCAAGGTGCTGAGTGCCATCAGCTCCAATTAATTTCAGCCCATTACTTGTCCTAAGCCCACCTCTCCTGTCCTGCCTTCACCAAAATATTGCCTTTGTGTGTATTATAGTGGTCAACATAAAAATAGAGCTGTTAGACTTGACATTATTGACTGGTGATTCCAACAGGACAGACATTTTAATTGAGCACCCAACACCTATGAGAGTTTCCTTTCTCTTCACATATAATTTAAATGGAATTAGTCCGATCTGCTTTTTATTTGGGTTCCTTACTTCATTACAGAGTAGGCCATAGTTTTGGCCATGTCCTTTATTTAATTGGACAAAGAAAATATACGCTTTTTAAAACCAACTTTTCCATGCTTGGTTTCAGCCCAGAATCTATTTTTTTCCCCATAAAAGTTTGATTGAATATTTTTTGAATATTTGAAATGATTTTAATTAAAAAAAAACCCACACATTTTTAAAAAAAAAAAAGGCAGGGATTTTTCACCTTCCAGACACCGTGTCTGATTAATAGTCAGTTTTCTTTTAAAATTTAATCCATGGCAATTATGCATTGCTCAATAAGCAATGTGTGCATTACTTTGTGTGTGGGTTTTTTGTTTTTTTTTTAAAAAGTTTAAAAGTAAATGTAAGCCTGAGAGGTGCTAAGCACTGGCAACTTCAGTTGGCAGGTAGCATCTTGCAAGAGTAAGAGTTTGTGGGATTAAGAATTAAATTAGGACTGTTTGAAAAATGGCAAAATGTTATTTTCCTTGACTCGAATAAGATTAGCTCGTAGGATGTTGTGGGATGATACTACTGGACCCAATTCAATATTAACCTGCATCCTGTGTAGTCATTTACACTGGTGCAAAGTGGCTGTATAATGCTAACAAACAAGAACTAGCAATGAATCTGTCTGACCATCATTAAATATATATTTGTACAGCGCCCAGTACAATTGGCTCTGCAGTTGGGATCATTTGGGGCTATGGCAATATAAATAATAAAATGTATCAACATACAGACATCTGAATGTTCAGAAGGGATTTTAGTGGCGTCTGTGTATATTTTGGTGTGTGATTGTTCACGCGTGAGCTGCATTGAAAGGGAAAGTAATAGAGAATTCTTTAGTCTTTGCTAAAATATCATAAACAATTTTATTTTATTTACAAAAAAGAAAAGAAAAAGGAAGTAATCTACAAATAACTATAGTAACACAATGTTAAGGTTGAGATTTCATCCCGTCAAAAGTCGGGAATTCAGTTCCCCATATCATTCTTAACTTGCTGCCAGGTACATACCTCATTTTAATGCCTATTTGGTGTTTTATCACATTCTCACACACCACTGATGTAACCAACTATTCTCAAAATAACATAACAAAGGAGAGGAGTTAAGGTTGATGTTGGAAAACAGTAATCTCTTTTATATGATTAAATATCTCAGCTTTAACATTGCATTGGTATAGTTTATTGTTTATATAATCCTTTAATTTCCCATTTTTCTTGTGTGCATTTTTCTTAATAAAACAATAAAAATGTTAAATTTGTTGATTAAATTTATTTTGTCAGTCTTCTTACAATATCTGTATCTAAGTGAAATAATGTGAACATAACACTTTATATGCACTCAGATAAACCTGTTATGCTTCTTGCTTAGGTAAACAGTGTGCAAGTTTTAGCAGAATCAGCAGCCAATATGCCACTAGCAGTTTTTGTTTTAGTCACATTATTGGCCCCTAACATTATTAATGAGACAGTAATTGAGAAATAGTGTTGATTGTCACATAAAACATGATCTGTATATTGGAAACAACCAGGTAGAGGCCTTGCATATGCAGAATGAAATAAAAGAAGGAATGAGTAGCAAATGTTCCCTACTTTTAAATTCATCACAACCCTGCTGTTTAAATTGCCCCAGCTGTTAATGCTGGAACCATTACAGTAATGGACTCAGCAAATGAAGGAGAACCAAGACACACACACTTTATTACCTGAGGGGTAATTTTCTCTTCATCTGTAATAGCAGCAGTGCCTAGTATTGATCAGGCCATCAAGATACTAATCCTCTGTAAAATTACTTGTTATAACTGAAAATGTGTTAATCCAAATCAGTCTGTGTCCTGACTTTCTACTTACTATTGAATACAGTCTATTAGATGGTTTATTTTTCATTATTTAAAGCCTTTACATTGATAATAGTTGGAGCTTCCTTTGCAAGAGCGAGTGCTTAATCTTCTCTATAGCCCAGGGTTGTCTTTTTGTTTTAAATGGAACATCACCCACTTAATTAAGGAGTGAGTGTCTGTCTTGCTGGTCTGAATTATGATGGTACTTTAGGTCCCCAGATTTATTAAACATGCTGTTTTACACTGTCGTTTTTGTTATAAATAAGAGCAGGCCCATCTTGCCCAGATTAGAAGTTTGCAGGTATAAGATATCAATAAGTGCTAAGAATTTAAGTTACTTGGATTTTTATTGCAAGCTATAGTTTGTTTTGTCGATTGTGTCCTGTAAGGAGAATGTGTCAGAGATTAACGCAAAGAATGTTTTGTATTTTACTGTCTTGAAAATATTATCTCCTAAAGCTCTGAATATTTTTCCACTGTCATCTGTAACTTTACAAATTTGGCATTCGGCCCAGCATCTGGCTGCTGAGTTCCTTCAGTTACCATTGATTTCAGTGAGAGGTGACAGGTTCTGGACTGGGAGTTCGGAGACCTGGTTCTATTCTCTGCTCTGCCACTGACTTGCTGTTGCTTCACCTCTTTTATCCCATGACAGCTTAAAAGGAACAGAGGGAAGGTCATCTCATGGATGGGTAACTGGTTAAAAGATAGGAAACAAAAGGTTGGAATAAATGGTCAGTTCTCAGAATGGAGAGAGGTAAATAGTGGTGTCTCCCAAGGGTTTGTACTGGGCCCGGTCCTATTCAACATATTCATAAATGATCTGGAAAAAGGGGTAAACCGTGAGGTGGCAAAATTTGCAAATGATACAAAACTACTCAAGATAGTTAAGTCCCAGGCAGACTGCCAAGAGCTACGAAAGGATCTCTCAAAACTGGATGACTGGGCATCGAAATGGCAGATAAAATTCAGTGTTGATAAATGCAATTTAATGCACATTGTAAAACAATCACAACTATACATATAAAATGATGGGGTCTAAATTAGCTGTCTCTCTTCAAGAATGAGATCTTGGAGTTATGGTGGA